GTAAAACAATAACCATTGATAATTTCCTACCACTTTGTCTGTAATTTGGTAAGCCCTCCTTATTACTATGTTATCCTTCTTTTACTCTTTAACATAAAACAAAAACAAAAACAAAAACAAAAACAAAAATCACACCCAGCAGAACAGCAGCTCCTAAAAATATAACACTATGTCCTCGTCCACCTTATTCACCGGATCTGGCACCGTGTGACTTCCAGTTCCTCCCCAAAGTAAAAAATGACCATGAGAGGGAAATGGCAGGATTTTGAATGGATTCAGGGCATTGAGGCAGCCAGGACAGCGCAGCTAAAGACCGTCAGGAGAGAGGACACCAGAGCTGCTGCAGGAAGTGCCAAGGACGACGGGATGGGTGTGTGTGGACAGAAGGGGGAGGACTGTGAGGCAGATTAACAGCAATGTGTCTGTTACTGGAATAAATTCTCGTTTAAACATTCCCCGTGTTTGTGATCACCATCCTCGCACTGTAGGTGAGCTAGAGTGAGAGGTGAATAGACTCCTTCAGCAACTCAGTGTCCTGCAGTTAATTTTAATTCAAAACAGAGGCCACAGGATAAGGACTCGGAGAATCTGAGGTCTCCTCCACCTGGTGACACTGGCCAGGACTTCTCTGAGCCCTTCCTACCCTTTTGTTAAAGGAGACAGTGGCAAGTGCTTCCTAGTTTCTAGAAGGGTCTAGATCAAGAGAGCCTGTGGAAAGGAATTCCTCACAGCACTGTTCATCTAAACCACTGATGCACCCTCTCAAACCTTGCAAAGACAGAAGGAGCATTTTAGAAAGGGACACAGCCCACCACAAGGAGCTTGGAGGTTTCCGAAGTTCCTCAAGCATGTCCAGGTGGGCCAGGCATCCCACTTTTGGGGCGAGGGCTGGAGACTGAGCATGTCCAGCTTTGTGAGTCTTGGGTGCACACTCCTTTTCATTTTTGGTAACAATTTCATCAAAATGCATAACCACATTAGCTCACGGGCCATAAAAAGCACCGGGGCCCTGAGGAACAGGAAGAGAATGCACAAGAGTGCGAGGGTGCGGCCTGAGCACCGCACATGCGGGGTCCCCGGGCCACCCCGATGACTGAGGCTCTGCAGGGACCAGACGTGGGCTGAGGCGAACAGCCCCCAACAGCGTTCCTATCTTGGGCTGCAGACACAGACGGGGAGCGTCTCTCTCCAGCTGGACCTGTGCTCCCTGCACTGGCGGCTGCTCAGAAAGCCCTTCCTCCACAGCGCCTGAGATGCATTGGACTTTCTACCTCAGCAGCCTGAGGAAGTGGGAACCACACTGAGAGTCTATTACCAGTCATGCACTGGGGTCCTTTCTAGTTTTAAGAGCGTTCTCTACGCTTTAAATCCCTGGAAAGTAACACACACTTAAGAAGCTTCTGAGAACGCGTTTTGCAGGTTTTTGCTCAGGTCTCCCTGGGTGAATGGGCTGCAAGTGAGAGGTCCCCTGAATCGGCACTGTGAATGGTGCCCTGAAGCGGCCACATTTCTCCCGGCCTTTGAGAAGATCATGTTCTTTCTGCTGCAGCTCGGGAACAGCACCAGGGCCCCTGTTCACCAGGCAAGTGCTCCACACCTGAGTGGCACCCTCACCCTGACGAAAGCCATTTTCCTAGCTGAGTAAAGCACAACTGAAATACTCCAGGACCAAGATACATCCTCGTTTTGAACTTCTGTTCTCTGGACATGTTGAGGAGAAAGTCTTAAAAACAAAAAACAAAAAACAAAAAACACTCCAACCTCTCCACTACCAACTCAGACAGAAAACTCTTGATCCTGCTGTGGTAAATGGCTGTGAGTTCCTGCCCCACAGACAGAATCCTTAAACACTCTGCCTAAAGCACACAGGTTTGCTTTTTGACAGAAATAAATGCCCAGCACATGACACTTTAACCTGTGGTAGCTTTGAGTCAGAGCTGGGTGAACATGAGCCTCCTCACGCTGCCGCCTCATGTCATGGAGGTAGAGGGTGTGTCCCCCATACTTCCAGGGGCTGGAAACACAGAATGAAGACACATGGAATCAGGAGAATTCCAAGCATCTTTAAAGCAAGGACCGAAGCCTGCTGCACAGGATGTGGAAACCAGGCTCTGATGGCTAGTGTTTGGACACCACTGGCCAACAGGCCATCTCAGCTTTGCACATAATTTGGCTTAAAGCCTTTGGGGGTAGCTCTCTGGTCGCAGAGGTGACATTTAGAAAGGGCTTTGCTCTCCCTAATAACAGCAGACATCAGCTGTTTAATCCCAACTTTCTGCTGGGCCGGGTTTCGGCACCGTACTTGCAGGATTTCCCATCTTTCCCTTGTCAGACACGAGATGCGTGCCTTACCCATCTCTGCGGGGCACACTGTGGACTGATTAATGTAGAAAAACTCACCTGAATTTGGACTATGACGTTTTTATTGGGCTGGAAAATAAACTTATTTAAAGGTGGGAATTCTGATTCTATGCACACCTGCAGACCCTATCAGGGAGAGGAACGATAAAATGCTGAGTTGTGGAGCAGCTGCCCTATTTCTTCTTTACAGAAGAATATATTTACCTGTTTCCAGAAAACACATTCCCTCTGGGCTTGTTACTCTTTATATAAGTTTGTTTGAATACCCGTGTTTGTGAGAGCTCCTGTTAATTGAACATACAAATGAAGCGCTAAACTGCGGTGCTGCAGTCGGGTCGCCAGTCCACTCGCCAAGGTGGGGGGCAGGGTCAGTGGAACATGAGGAAGAAAGGAATGAGATGGTGAGTTCACTGGGAATGTGCTGCTCGCCAGGTACCCACAGCCACTTGACAGCCGCGATTGCATCTAATCTTCGTAACTCTCTTGTGGGAAAGAAATCTATTTCCCATTTTTTAGGTCAGTTGGGCCTGGGAGGGTTAAGCACTTTTCCCGACATCACATTCTGGGTACCAGGATGGTGACGCTGGTAACAGTGATGATGACAAAGGTAACATATTAAAGAATAAAAGGACAGCAGTAGGCACACTGTCGGATTAAGGATGCCTGTTGTAAAAATGTTGTTATATGTGATTTAATTAACCCTAAACCCTTGGAAGATTTTCTACACTGTTTGACAGACAACCAAATAGAGAATTAATAAGATTACAATTCACCAGAGACAACAACCTGGGCAAAAGAAGGGGTGTGAGAGCTCCTCGATGCCAGGCTGCTTGGGGGCACCCTGCCTTTGAGGAGGGACCCTCAGGCCGCCTGAGCCTTATTTTCCACTTGGGATGCAAAGCCACTGTTATGGCTTATGTCTGTGTGTCCCCTCCAAAGCCTCATGCGACCATGGGACAGGCTATTAGAGTTGAATGATTGTGGGTGTGAGAGCTACACCTGCCCTGGGGTGGATAGCTTGCATATGTAAGGGAGAGGAAAAGAGTGCTTGAGGCCATTCCTCCCCCATTCCGCCCTGGTGTATGGTGGTTGCTTTGCTGTGTTCTGCCGCCCTGAGCTGTAGCTCTCTGCCATGTGCCACTCTGCTTTATAATCCGCCAAATACGGACTGAAACCTCCACGAACTGTAAGCAAAATAAACCTTTCCTTCCTTAATTTTGGGCGTCAGGCATTTTGTCCCAGCAGTGAGAAAAAAAGTAACCAAGACAGTCACCCATGGGTCCCAACTGACTGAATGTGGACACCAGCAAACCCTCAGAAGCTTCGCCCCTAAAGCCCCAGTGTGCCCGCTGTGGCCAGGGCAACTGGAAGGATGGGTGGGGACTTCTGCTCTTCAATGTGATGTTACTGGTTAGAGGGCGGAGGGCACCGCAGCCTAGGCCGGGAGAGCGGCCCCATCTCTGTGGCTTCGTTTCTTCCCCTGCTCAGCAGGAAGCGTCCTCCAATTCACTCACCATCTCCCATCTCATCGGAGAAGGGCAGGCTGAAGACAGCCTCGTCGATCATGCGGTTGGGCAGGTTGGTGTAGAACCGGCCGACCGTGGTCTCCAGGTTGCTCAGCTGGTTCAGCACCATCATGCTGCCCTTCGTCACAGGCAAGGCGCTGCGGTCGGGCACGCCGTACTTCCCTGAGTTCTGCTCAGCCAGGTCCCGCAGGAACGCCAGCTCCTTCAGGCCAGTCACCCCATCTGAAAGCAGAGCAAGGGAGACCACAGGAGCAGATGGTTAGGTGTACACGGCTCACCATTCCAACCCCACCCTGCACAGACGAAGTCCCACACGCCCAGGGCCTCCAGGGACTGCAGGGGCAACGCGAGCTTGGGACACAGACTGCACTTCCTGCGAGAGGAACAGACCAAGGCACCGTCTGTCTCACAACGGGGAGGGAAAGGGAGTCTTCAAAAGGCAACGATGAAAGACACTCGGGTGAGTAAAGCAGCCGCATCTGGTAAGGCTGTGTTCTCCCCAAAAAGTTTAATTAAAAGATTTGAATTCCTTTGCTGCATTTAATATGTGAAAGCAAAAGTACTGGTTCACAGGCCTGCATTTAATTTAAAGTAGTAGATGAAAAAAAAGAAAAAAAAGGAAAGTAGCAGATGAAACTGTAACAGTTTTAAGGACAGAAGTTTACTGTTTCAGTCCTTCTTTGCTTGTAAAACCACTAGCCAGAGTCTCATGAAACTAAATGAAAGAATTATGGTTTGCGTTTAGTGATGGTCCAAACCCCATTTCTTTAAACTCATTTTAATTACAAATGTTTCCACCCTTTGCATTGTTAGGGTAACACTGAATTTGATTTACTTAATGTATATTTTTATATTTGGGGGGCTTTGAAAACTTCATAAAAGATTTAGGCAGACTGGTATGCACTGTTCTATGACATCTGTAATCTATAGTACAAAAATAATTTAATAAACCATCGTTTAAAGTTCAATATTGTTGGAACACAGTCAAAAGGATTAGTAACTGATCTCATATGGGTTCCACTGTAAACAAATTCAAATGACTTTAGTCACTGCTGAGATCCTACCATTGCATTTTAAAAAGTTTTGGCCTCATATTCTTGAAGATTAAGGGCCAACCACGACATGATCTGACGTTAAAAAGACTCGTCTTCGTGGCTCACCGAGCATATGCATTTTTTTTTTTTTTTTAATTTTTCTCCGGTACCAGGAACCGAACTCATGACCTTGCGCTTGCCAGGCAGGCGCTTTGCCGCTGAGCTAAATCCCCAGCCCTGAGCATACGCATTTTTGACCTTTCTACAAAGGTACACATTTGCACCATCGGAAATCCGTTTCTCAAGCAGAGGCAGAATTTAATGGTTATGCTTTCCTTCTTCAAACACTGCAGTTAGATAAACTTGGGTGTTACTCCTCTCGGCAGTGCTGAAGAAATGGAGCAATACCCGGGCTGGGAAGTGAGAATCAGACCCCTGCCCTCTCTGCCTAGTGTAGTGCCAAGGTAGCAAGGTCAGGGTGTCTGCGGCAGACCACAGCCAGACAAGACCGATCCCTGACCTCACACCCTGGAGAGGCGGCGGAGAATCAAAGCAGGTGACCACTCTGGCAATGAGTGCATTTCCTGTCTTGGCCAGGTTTACTACTTGGCTCTCTCAACATGCGGAGTGATGAGTGAAAGTATCTGGGAGGCAAAGCTGAGCAGTACAGGACAAAAGGTTACAAAGTACTGTGCTTCCTGGTCACTCTGCTGAGACACATGATGTGGGGTGGCTGCGGAGTTGGGGCGGCCGGTAGGTAAGAGTGCTGGGCTGTCTACGGTCAACGGTCATGCCAGGCATGACTTCGCCCAGAGCTCTCCTGGGCATATGTATCCAAGGTCAAGACACCAAAGGTCAAGCACTGCAAGGCTGGAAGGTGAGGGACGAGGACCCGCCTGTCCAGCTCACTGGGATCTTCTCTCTCCCAGCCTTCAGACCTTGCTGTGAGCACCAACTTGCTGACTATACTGTCTCTGTGTTGTGTCTTCATAGAGCTCGCCCATTCTGGGTCTTTCTTTTCCAGATTCTCCCAGAGACCGTACATTCGATCTGATGATAAACTCTCTATCCCAAAATTCGAGTGGTTCTGCTCCCCTGCCTCAAGCCCGAGTCACCTGGCTAGTGTCTGGGGAATGTGTCCTCCCTCGTGAGCAGGAAATGGAACTCACTCCCTAGTGAGTTTCCCTGTGAAATGAGGGAGAGTGAGCCGGGAAATGCGGCCAGGGAAGAGTGGGAGGATGGCAGACAATAGTGGTTTTAAGGTGCCGGATCAATTGGCACCACAAATGCACGGGAGCCTCCGGAGGGAGAACTCGGCAGAGCGAGGGGACAGGTGACAGCAGGAAACTTTCCATGCAGTCTGTCACCGGACTGTCACATCTCGTGGAGGAGAAGAACCATGGCTGCCTCCAGGCCTCCTCATGCCTGACATGTTCTGTCCATCTGGTGCGTCTGTCTGCAGCTTGAGGACAGAGACCTTGCATCAGGCAGCCCTAAAACCTCAGTGTGGTGGGCGCTGTAGGTGTCCGTGGAATTCTTTCCTTCCTTCCTCCATGTGTGAGTGAAGGGAGCTGAATCACAGGAGAAAAGAGCAACCTGCAGCCAGGGACGACCCTGACGGGTGTGTGGCTGGCGAAGGAGTCGTCAGGGAGTGCAGCGGTGCAGGCTCAGTCCCGTGCCAGGCGCTCAGGACACAAAGACGACGAAGACATGTTTGCTGCCGGCTGGCGGGGTGCATGCTCGCAGGGAAGGTGGAGGGCCAAGGAAGGGAGGACATCACACGGGTGCCCCAGGCAGCTCGGTGGAAGACGTGGTCATCAGACAGAGGCACAAGTGGGGACGGAGCCGGGCAGAGAGCTGGCCCTGGAGAGCGAGGGTCCCCCACCCTGAGCCGTGCTGCTGGAGACGGGAAACCGCAGCTTCTTTCTCTCCCCCAGCTGGCTGTGAAGTCCTGGTATTTTCCACGTTCCTTGTTAACGATGTCTGAGACACATCCCACAGCGCGGGATGTTTCAGTCCCCAGCTCTGCGTGACAGGGATCTCAGCATGCTCACTGCAAGGGAACAACTGGCTAAGCCGCACTGCTGGAGACGCAGGTGGGGCTTCTGGCGCGGACAGCAGAGCCTGGGGCCAGCGGGAAACAGGAGGCAGAGCGTGGGCCTTGGACAGCGAGATCCCAGAGCCCAGGTCCCTCCCAACAGGGCTTGAGCAGGAACTGGAGGGCCGTGCCTGGGATCTGCATCTGAAAGCTCTCCTCAAACATCCTTAGCACAGGAAAATGAAGAACCGCAGCCTTATATCCCGGGCTGCGCACGGAGACGGGTGAGTGAGGAAGGGAGGAAAGCGGCAGAGGCAGGAAAGACTGTGGCGTTGATGTGGTCCCTGGGGCCTGAGGGCGATGTCGAAGAGAAGAGGGCTGTGTGGGTCGGGGAGACGTGTCCAGCACCACATGGGCAGTCAGGTGGGTACCGACTGAGGGCAGTCTGACAGTAGGGGGAATGGCAGCGTTTCTGTGAATTTACCAGTTTGCTAAACCTGTTCAGCACAGTGGCATTTAAACAGTATTACAAGAAGGGAAATGGCTTAGTACTCAGGTCGGGGATGGGGTGACTGTGCTTACAGAAGGTATCGAACAAAAAAAAGAACTGTGACGCGTTGCGTGCACGCCCGAGGCCCTGTGATGTGCCACAGGCGTGGACTGATGAAATAAAAACTTGGAGAAACGATACACAGGCGGTGTGATGGACCGGCTCTGCACGCGTGTGGATGCCCTGTGCTCTGTATGCGTGTCCCACGCTCGCGTGAATGTCACTGCAGTGCACGACCATGTTTCCACTGGGAAAGCTTCAGGCAGAGTCCAGGGCTGCACTGTCATTTACAACGCCGTCATTGTTTCCAATTAAAAAGTTTAAATGAGAAAAGTGCTGTTGCTTAACAGCGACACCGTGGATTTTAAGGAGCACCTGGCCAGGGCTGCCCCACGCGTGCTGAGCGCTGTGGCTGACCCGCTCCGCCCTGCAGAGGCGCTGGAGCGAAGGTGACCATCACCGCATTGGTGACAGGAAAGAACCCAGGCCTGAGTCCTGCCTCGTGCAGCTGGAACCTGGTTCACAACCTCCACACGGTACAGAAACCTAGATGCCTGGGCTGTGACGGAGAAGGGAGAAAGGGCAGAGGCATGCACATCTGGAGGGGCACAGATGTGGAGGAGGTCGGGGACGAGCAGCAGCTGGATGAGGGGAGGCTCACCCACGAGGCCCTGACAGCCGGAGGAGCCCGCTGCCTCCCTGACAGCCTTCATCAGAGCACACTTAGCGTCTCTTTTCTGTTTACCAAGCGGGGGGATGTTTCATCTGAAGGAAGGACCTCGAAACGCCGCCTACCGTTCATGAGGGCGTAGGTGAGAATCATCACGGAGTTGTTCAGGAAGCTGTTTTCTTCATTGATGACTCGCAGAGTTGCCTTCTTATCTTGCTCCGGGGAGTCCTTCGATGTGATGCCGGCTGACAGGTAGATGATGACCATGTCCGTGTCTAAACAAAAACACACGCACCGGTTACGCGGGGTTCGGGCTGGAGGTGGCCGACTGCCCCGCCCATGGCCCCCACTGGCCTAAGCACCTCATTTAAGCTTCCGACCACAAGAAAACAAACCAATGAATAAACCTGTCCCACTCCCTGGGGGCGCACCCCGAGACTGATGTGACAAACCACACCTTCACCCAAAGGTATCTTGTGCCACCAACTCCTGGACATCCTGGAGTGCCCTTGGGGCTTCTCACCGGCCCTGATTCTGGACACAGAAGGCTGTCACCCTTAGGGTGAGCTGTTCTTGGGGTGTGGGGCCAGGCCGGCAAGGCACATGGGCCCCTTCACCAGCCAAGCGTCAGCACGCACCTCTGAGAGCTCTGTCCTGAGCCCAGCGCGCCCTCTCCCTGTGCGCAGAGCAATCTGGGTTATCTTTCCACCTTCCCTCATCAGAGCCATCAAAACGTGGTCTGGCTCTTGTTCTCACTCAGCTGGCTCTTCTCGGTCACCGCTTAGCAGTCAGCCAGGCCCCCTCGCTTCCTTGGCTACCAAAGGTCTTCCCGCCTGTCACCCTCTCAAACGCAGAACCAACAACCCAAAGGATGGACAGCACTGCGACGGCGGACCCGGGCCAGGGCTGGAGCCTGCGCTGGACAGAGCTGTAGATTTGGGGGTGGATGCAGAGCTACGGTGATTCATGCTGGGGAACCTCTGATTATGTGGTTTCTCATGGGGGGCAGGCGCCCCATAGCCACGCTCAGGCAAATCCTCGCACCATCCCCAAAGGGAAGGGCTGGCTCCTGCGGGTAACCTCACCCGCGACACTGAAAGCAGCCTGGTACACAGTAGGTGCTGGATAACTGCCTGCGGCCTGACCAGAAACAGCAATGCAGATGTGAGCTCCAACGAGGGACACAGGTGCCCACCCTGCTCTTGCCAGGCCGCTGGGGTCCCTGGCATCTTGGCCTTGGGGTCAACTTGGGATGCATGGGACTCTGCTCTGGCCTTGGCGAAGGAGAAATTGTGTTGGAGGGAGAACAGCACAGAACACTCGTGGAGTCTGGGGTCTTGTAACCACCCCGGGGGATGGACCAGGACAGCAGATCTGGAGAGATCCCTTAACTTACTCACGCCCACAAGCTTTGAGACATTTCGGGGGAATCACTGCAGAATCCAAAACCCACACACTTAGTGAGGCAGCAGGGAAGAATCTGGTTTGGGAGCGCCCAAGAGCGCCCACTTTCACTCTCAGACAGTGAAAATGCACTCCTTCCTCCTTGCTTTTTTCAGTACTGCAGGTTGAACCCAGGCGCCTTTTCAAGCTCCTAATCGTTGAGCTGCTTCCCCAGCCCTCTTCCTGTACTCTGAGACAGCTAAGTTGCCCAGGCTGGCTGCGAATTTCCAACACTCCTGCCTCAGTCTCCCTGTTAGCTGGGATTACAGGTGTGCACCACCACACGGGCCTGAAGAGTTTCTTTATGCAAACTGACTGGGGTTCTCTGTTCTCTGAACTTTCAGAAGCAGCTGTAAAGTGGCGGATGCCGAGCTGAACCTTAGGAACATACAACTTGGCCAAAAACGCCTTCTGTGCTGCGCATTTCCAAAGCTACATCATGAAAATTTGCCCAAGCCTTGCATGGTCCAGCTTCTTGCCCTGTTTTTGTTTGCCAATATTAATGAAAGAAAGGCAGCCGGGCGTGGTAGCGCACGTCTGTCATCCCAGCACTCAAGAGTCTGAGGCAAGAGGATCACTGCGAGCTCAAGGCCAACCTGAACTGCACAGAGAAACCCTGTCTCAAAAACACCACAAAGACCAAAAAAATAGAGCCCCAGAGGAGAACGGCCTCTATCACACCAGGTTTGTGCGGCACTCGGGAGAGGAAGGCATTTAATGAGGTCTCTGTTCAATTGAGACGACCATTAATATTTGAGAATCAGGGGTTTCACACTAAAATCAGACTTCTGGCTCCTCTTGAATCGGAAGATCTGGAAGGGAGCGACGGCGTCCTGCATGCAACAGAGAGAAGGCACCCGGCTTGCATGGCCCACCGCAGACATCGGGTCTTGCATCTACCTGGCGGGCCCTTCACACCGTTATCCAGACAGACAATAAACAAAACTGGACAGACGGCCTGATACCCAAGGGTCAGGAAAGAAGGACACCCCCAGGGAGAGGCCGGCAGAAAATGGCACAGACAAACTGCCCTTCCGACCTGAATATGGGGAGGCCAGCCCTGCCGCCAGCCTTGCTGATCTGGGGTGCCTGGGCACACAGTCACCCTGTCACGCTGGCCTGTGTGGCGCTGCCACTTGCCAAGACCTCAGCGAGGCCCAGGGAGGACACAGAGGCCGTGAGCCGAGAGCACAGCACCCTTTCCGCCAGGCCATAAACCGAGGCACGCCATGGGACGCGGCAAGCGGATCACTCCTGGGGCCGTGTGCGCGCTGGCAGATGTGACGAGCGCCACTACGTGGTTGGCTATGGGCTAATCCCTCGGGATGGGAACCCGCTCCATTCATAAAGGACTGCAGCCCTGGTCTCATCCTTGAGCCTGGAAACGGGGGCCGTGCCTTCCTGGAAGTCAGGGTCGAGGCAGGAGCGCGCTTCCCTGGCTGGCCTTGAACAGCAAACCCCCGGGAGTTTGAGGGTTGTGAGGGGTGCACCCCAACAACACACACGTGGGCACAGAGGCCGGGACTCCCGATGCGTGGGAACCACGAAATAATAAACATACTTCTTTAAGCTGCCAAGTTGTGGTCTGTTTTTACAAAGACAAAACTAACAGCCATCTCTCTCCCCCCACGGCGACAGTAATTCCACTCCTCCTTCCTTCGAGGCCGGGTGTGCCAGCCCTGCGCTGCTTGAGGGTGGCGCCACCTCAGCCGAGACGCAGACGCACACAGGAGCGTAGACGTGTATCCCCTAAATGTATCTCCACGGGACACACTCACAACTCCACAACAAGGAAAAACGCTACACAGATTTTCGAATATAAAGGAGAAAACGAAATCGATTCTTTGCCGTCCTTTCAAAGCATGAGTCCTATTTCAGATACGCTTGCCTCTCCTTTTGCATGCATCCTAATTCCAGATTTCTTTAATACATGAAAATTAAATTAGTGTGCCTTTGTACACTGGGGGCCCCGCTCAGCCGTGACAGCTGGCGGGACAGGATCAAGGCAAGCATTCCCTCGCCCCCTGAGCAGGCATCTACCCTGTCCAAGCCGGTGATTAACATTAAAAAGGATGCGTTAGTCCCCGGGGGAATGAACTGGGGTTCATTCCTCACCGGCGGGCAGGAGCGCAGGCTCTGCCAGTCTAGATACACGCAACTAACCGGCGAGTGACCAGCGAGTCATGTGCAAGGAACCAAGCCTGACAGGGAGAGATGACAAAGGCTGGTAAGATCCGGGAGGGAGCACCTCGGAGAGAGCACGGGGACTCGCTCCCAGATCACCTCCTGAGCGCTCTCCATCAGCTCGGCAGTGAGCGGCACCCCTCCTTCCCTCTCTCTTGCGTTTCTGAGCCCAGACAGGGACTGTACCTACTTGCTTGGAACCTGGTGTTGTTGTTCGTGCTGCGGATCAGCTGGAATGCCTTCTGGAACCCTGCCGCGTGCTGTGTGGGGCTGTCCGAGGCCTTCACACCGCTGACGAAGGTGGACATCTTCCTTTTCGTCTCACTGGTGGCCGGGGACAGGAAGGTTTTGTAGCACTGGTCCAGAGAGCAGGTCCTGACAGTGTCTGCCACGGTCAACATGGAAATCTGCAGGGAGGCAGATAACAACAGCAAAACTTGTTACCCCATCATTTCTAGGTGTTTTTTTTTTTTTCAGAGATGGGATCTTACTATGTTGGCAGGCTCCTGGACTCCTGGGCTCAAGCAATCCTCCTGCCTCAGCCTCCCAAGTAGTTGTAACTACAGGTGTGTGCCAGCACCGCCAATCAGGATTTTTACGCAACATAAGACATCAACTACTGAGAAGACTCTAGGATGCTACCTGAACTTAAAAAAACAAGCACAAGGAGGCATCCATCTATCAAATGAAAAAGGTGTATGTGTAAGGGGAGGGCACTGTTGTGTCTGGTTTTTGTTCCAGAATAAGGTAGCAACACAGCACTCACGTTAAGGAACACCAGCAAACATCACTAAAAAAGAACAGCAACAAATTCATGCAGAAAAAACCTTAGCAAGAACTTGGCTTTCAAACTGGAAGCGGCTGTGAATGTAGGGCGTGCCCGTGTGTATGTGTGTACGCATTTTAAGCAACTAGATTAGTGAGACGGGGAAGCCAAAATGACAAAGTAGAACATATGCATGGGCTGCAGATGACCCTGAGCTTCACACAAGCCTCTGAGTGCACCCTGAGGTCAGTAACCCTGTCCCCACTTCGTCTCCAAAGACCCGATCCCCAGCTGCGTGCTCCTCTCCCGCTCAGCTTCCGCTGACAGAGACAGGGCTAAGAGAAGCCTAAACGGGCCGCAGGGCGTGCAGCCGCCGGCTGTAGTGGTGCTCATCACAGAAGAGATTTGTGGATGGACATTGCTTTCTCAGGTTAGGACAAAAACTAAACCACGTCTTTCCCCCCACCACGTTACCAATGAACTGAAGGAAATGCACAGGCACGGGCCACGTCAGGAGGCACACGCGTCCTGAGCGGGCACGGGTGACCTCGCCTGGGAACACTCTGGCACTGCCCCTGCGCTCTGGTAACCAGTACACCCTACCTGGCAACGCCGGGGTGTCAACTACTGCGCAACCGGGCGTTGCAATCTCAGGGGCCCATGCAGGCGTCGCCCTGCAGCACATCACTGTACATCACAGCCCTCAAGGAGGGGGCTCGGGGTGACAGTTACCTTGTCGTGCTCATCGATGGCGCTGAGGATGACCTGCGCGGCATCCTTGGCGATCTGCAACTGGGTGTCGGTGACTGAAGCCCCGTGGTCCAGGATCACGACGATGTGCTTGGACTGCGGCCGGACGGTGGACACGTAGATGGGTCTGCAGGGAGAGAGGCCCTGGTCAGTCCTGCTTTGGGGAAAGACTCCATGCACACAGCTGGGGATGTGGCGGTGTGTGCGGGCTGGCGCCTGTGTGTGGGGTGGGGAGGCCGGCACGGAGAAGCCAGGTGCATGGCCAGGTGCACGGCCTCAGCAGAGCAGTGCGCACCTGGGGGGCAGGCGGGCTCTCACGTTAAAGATGCACACACCTCTCTCTGGGAGGTTGGCTTCTTCTGTCATGGCAGTGCCGCCTTCCCTGAACCATCCTGAGGCAGGAAACAAGCCGGCAGCCCTGGGCAGCAGGGAGGGAGCTTTGTCCTGCCGCTGGATTCTCTGTGCACACTTGGGGGCAGGGTTGTGCTAGGACCCAGGAGTGCGTAGAGCGGCTCGAACACAGGCCTGGCCTCTCTCCCTGCAGAAGCGGCCCCTTTCCCCGAGGCAGTGCTGAACGCCAGCTAGCAGATGAGTCCACACCCGCGACGGCACTCTGCGGCCGGGGTGTCCCTTGCCAACACTAAGGAAAGGGGGTCGGGAAGCCCACTGAGCAGAAATGCCTCGTCCGGGTGGCCTCCTGCTCCCGCGTGGGCCGGGCATTTGTGAGATGTTTAATGAGAGCTCTGTGCAGTTTCGGACCTGGGACGCACTACGGGGTGGTTTAAGGAAGCAAATCAGCCTCGAGAGAAATCTCATCCACCGACCTCCCTCTACCACTGGACTATGGCATGGACACGGCAGCTGAGACACAAAACCCTGCGCAAAAATTGAGAACCACAGGCAAAGTACCAAAGAGTCTCAAACTCGGGCGCCTTCGCACCAACCGTTCTCAGGCCAAAAGTCCTAGGTGACTTCTAAAGAACGTGTCCCAGCTCGCCCGTCAGCGCACTGGACCAGCAGGGGACGGGGAGGAAACGAGGCTGGGAGAGGCGGCCACCGAGACGAGCGTGGAAGCGAGGACGTGGCCTCCTGACGCAGACCACCAGCTCGAAGGTGGGGCCATTTGGGTTCTCCAAGCCAGGGAAGAGGCTCCGCTTGTCTCTTCTCTTCTCTCTTCTCTTCCTTTCTCTTCTTTTTTTTTTCGTTTTGAGACAGGGTCTCGAGCTGTAGTTCAGGCTGGCCTTGAACTCACCACCTAACCCAGGCTGGCCTCCATCTCACAGCAATCCTCCTGCCTCAGCCTCCCGAGTACTGGGATTACAGGCATGCACTGCCATGCTCAGCTAGGATTTTCTTTAAAGGGACATCTTCCCTCCTTACTGAGAGCTCTCAAAGGTGAAAAGTGGGATGGGGTTAGCAGAATCACCCCAAGTTGTTATAAAGGGCTTTTGTAAGGTAAAGCCGAGAAGCCGGCTCCATTGCTGACCACCCTCAGCCAGGCTCTTGTTATGCTCAGAAACCCCCTGCACTGTGCCGAGGGCGGGCAGAGCCCTGAGAGGAGACGGGGGGACGGTAAAGAGCACGAGGTCTTTCAGCCGAGGGCAGGCAGCGCCAGGGTGCAGGGAGCCACACTTAGGCTGGAGATGCAGGGAACCTCCACACCAGAGCAGGCGGCTCGGAATGAGCCCTTCTCTCCTGCGTGGATGGTCGGCCAGCTGATCTTGTTCTTAGGAGCAACTGAGAGTCAGAGGACCTTTGGAGAAGCCAGCTAGAAGCCAAAGTCAGGACACCCGGGACTGGCTCCTAAACACACATGCCACACCAGTGTCTGTGCAGGGAAGGGAAGAAATCACACAATGGTTTTCTAAGAAAAGCAGATGTAGTTTCTGGAAAAACTCTTATCTTATGGCTAAATATCTTCTTATCTAAATCTTGTCTAAACCTCATCTACATGTCTCCCAAAATCCTCTGGAATGAGGAAGGTGACAGGTCACAGTGCCCATCAGTGGAGTCATCCAGGGAGCGTTCACTGCGGACTGCTGCAGGAGGCGGTCTGGCCCTGGCTGGCGGTGGTCACCGGGGTGACCGCCAGGGCTGCATTCCTGTCCCGGCTCCTCCCTTCTCTGCTTCCTTTCCCCCTTGAGCAGCTCTCCTCCGCCAGACCCCTCTGCCGTGTGGTTTCTGCCTGGAGCCGTGACCAGGACCAAAAGTGTGAGCCAAAGCAAACCTCTCCCTGACATGTGGGGATTTTGTCCCTGCGACGGAGAGTGATGAGGACAGCCTAGAATGAGTGCAAAGAAGCAGCAAAAGGAGCTGCAGTGACTGCTTCTTCAGACTCCAGAAAGTGGCCCAGAAAGTGGATATCTATCTTGCAGGGAACCAGATGTCCTGGCATTGAACACCTGATACCACCAACGGGCAAGTGTGGAGCTCAAAAGCAAAGCACTGGTTGCCCAGGTGTCCTGGAAGTTGACGAGCCTGGCCATGCAAATCATCCCCCGCACCTCCATGCAGGAGTGGGACGGAACAAATCTTTAACCCTGTGCCTTCTGAGCCTTTGAACTTCCAGGGTGGAAATCGGCATGGAAATTCATTATCATAGAGAGGGAAGCTGAGAATCATCTAATCCCACTGTAATTCATCACGATGTCACAATGTCATGTTCCCTGGCTGGATTTCAACAGACATTTTCAAAACACTCTCAGAACTTCAAACAAAGGGATTTTGTTAGTACAGGTCAATTCTCTAAGACTTGTTCAACAGTTGTTGCAAAGCTTGCAGCCTGATCATCTGCCCCACCCTGGATATCCAGGGTACCAAGTGCTGATCCACTTTAGAACAAGTGTAAGTCTCTGAACCTGCAGCTGTGAGGCAGGGTGGGACTGTGTGGAAATGGGGACTCTGGACTCCATAGATCCCCCGGGGTGTGTGTGCATGTGTGTAGGGGTAGGGATGGGTGTGCTCTGGGTATTGAACCCAGGTCCCCCCTCCTGCATGTTAGACAAGTGCTCTACCCCAAGCCCCCTCATGCAGATCATGTTAAACGACAGCTAAAAATTTTAGCCCACAAGTCAGCATACCTACTTCGGTGCTCGTAGCTGCCCTTACACCGGAACTTGTGAGCTGGGAAAACAGTGAAAATTCCTTCTTCCGAACTGAAATACTGCCACTTGATTCCAGGGTTGGATTTCAGGTTGTCTGCAAGAACTAGAGGAGGAGGGAAATGAAACAGAGCCGTCAAACCCGCAGGTGCACGGGGCAGCTGCTTTGCATAAACTTTGTCATGGGAAGAAATACCACCAAGTAACAAAGCTGAAAATTTTCTACAAAACCTTTTCTTACTGCCTCTTAAAAATGCCCTACGCATAGAAAAGGCAGTGTGTCAGTTATGTGAAGCCGTTGTTCTTTGCCTTGCAGACTGCTATCACGCTGGTACTTCTCCTGCACGCCCGCTGCTTTCGCCCACTCTGTCCCTCCCTGGGCGAGGGCACACCTACTGGCTTGGGGCACATTTGCTAACAGGGACACAGTGACATTCACAGGCTCTGTCTACAGAGGGACTGGAACAAAGACCGAGTGGGTGCCTGGCACCTGACGCACCCACCGTGGGCACACAGCATGACAACACATGACTGATGCACCAGCTCGGGGTGCAAAAGCTGCAGGTGGGGCTGCTACAGGAGCGGCAAGGAGTGAGACGGGCAGCGGTGGAGCCCAGGTCTGCCATCACCTCGCCAAGGATGCGTGCACAGCACGTCCCCTGCCGCGCGCCCATGGGGAGCAGGGTGCAGAGGGCCCACCTTCTGTCTCCGCCTCCGCTGTCCAGCGGAGGGAGGCCCCCACACTGCAGGTTTTATTTACTTTGCAGGCGTCTTCTGGCTGTTAGCAATGTGTTTTCCCTTAGAGCCAGGCAAGCATTTTGATTGTTTTCCAAAAGTTACTGTGCGTGTCAGCAATTGAAGTGTGGGACAGGTGTGCAAGGGCCGGTTCATCCCCATTCCCAGCAGATGCGGACATGGCTCTGGGGTCCATGACAGCTCCCCTGTGTCAGGAGCCGTTCCAGAGCAGGGGGCTGAGCTGATGCACCCCCGGCCACTGGCCTCCTCTTCCCTGCTGACTGCGAACCTTCAAAGGAGAAAACGTGTGGTGGAAGAGCTGCACAGCACTGCCCCTGCCAGGCCGGCCAGCTCCAGGAACAATGCGGGGGCCACCCAGGGCCAGGCTCGGTCGCCTCCCTGACACAGGATGGAGCATCTGCCCAGCAGGTGGCCACCGGGCGCTGACCGTGACGAGCCTGTGCCGAGGTTCCCAGCGCTGCCGCTGAACTCTTCTCACCAACACATGGAGCTGCTACAGGACAGGACGGGAGCGGGGAAAGCCCTCCCGGATGTACGAGACCCCTCGTCCTCCAGTCCACGCCAGTTTAAGCGGCCAGCTCTCGGCACAGATGCCTGTTCTGTCTGGAACAGTGGTCGCACACTTCCCTGCAGGACCCAAAACCAGCACCTCTGGGTCCGCAGATCACGCTCTCTTCAGCAAGGCCACTTACGTGCCATGGATACACCGTGCCTCTCTAGCATGCAAAAGGCCCGGAGGGACTCCCAGCACCGCAAGAAACCACCAGTCAATGTCTTTAGACTGGCTGTGGTGGCACACGCCCACAAGCCCAGAGCTCCATGAGTTCAGGGCCAGCCTGGGCCACAGAGTGAGTTCAATGCCAACCTGAGCTGCGCAGCGAGACCCTGTCTCACACGACAACAGCAACAGCAGCAGCGACGATAACAAGACAACGAAATGAAAGCTGCTCCGCTCTGCCTTCCCAGTGAGAGGGGCCACAGGCACGTGTCAATGAACGAGCGGGCCACGTGCCGATGAACGTTTATTCAGAAAAATCAGTGACAAGAAGTCCCTCTCCAACAAAGCCATGCGACACACACCTCGTGTAGGACATACAGGTCCCCAAAGCCTTCGGCTCTGTCTCCCTTACATTCCGGCATCCCCGATGTGTACACCAAGGAGCGTGTTTACCCTCACGCAGATCCCAGGAGTTGAAATCGTGACCTCTCAGTCACCGAGGAGGAAATGGGTGCAGAGAGCTTTCGGGATCTGCCAGAGGCTCCTCTACAGCCCGAGCAGAGGGGAGAGTCCAGCCTGCTAGGGGGGACCCCGGCCACGTCCAGGTCGCTTGTAGAGGGTACGGTTGCTGTGTGTGCGGAGCTGAAGCCGCCTCTGCCCGCTCTCCCGGGGCTCGGCCTTCACCCTGCGGCCCGCACTCTGTGCTGCCCCGAACCCCGAGGCAAGGAAGCGCCCGACTTTACTTCAAAGCAACATCTGCACAGGAAACAGGCTTCGGGGACTAGTAAAAGGGGGCCCAATGGGATGAGGAACCTTCTAGAAGATTAGAAATAAATCAGCAGTCATCTCATGGGTGATGCATTTAGTCTCCCACAAAAGCCCATCCGGTCCTGTCCCTCAGAGTCCCAGTGCTTTAGCCCCATGGCAGGCTCGGGCTCTCGAACTCTCCTGCTGCGGACTCCTTCGGGATCCGGGCCAGGCTCCTTCGTCTCGGGCCTAGCGGAAGAAGATGGATACGCTGGGATGACGTCCCCGGACACGGGAGTAATCTATCAACTGGTGCAGCCCCAGTTGGACGCGACAAAAGGTGCATTATCCCTGCAGCGGGCTCAGGGGCCGCCCATACACAGGAGTCAGTTGCAGGCTCAGCCGCTCTGGCTGGGGTCCAAATGCGGGGTCCTACACACTTATGCTTCCCTCAAACCTGCTGGACCTCACCGGGAAAGGCTGGAGGATGCCCAACCCTGCCAGCCCAGCACGCCTAGCTCTAAGCTACAGACGGGGCTCTGCATCTGCCTCACTGCATTGGCCACACCGCACAGTCACGTGATGCACACAGATGCACAATGCACACAGACACGCAACACACAGTGCACACAGAAACCCAACGCACACAGATACACAATGCACGGACACAAAAGGCACACAGTCACACAATGCATACAGAAACACAACACACCCAGACACAACTCACAACACACACAGACACACAACCCAGCAGGCGGGCCACCCATGGCCTCCCCTCACCGACATTCCCACAAGCCTGGAGCTACTTTGTCTTCTGAGGTCCTTTCCCAGTTACTTCTTCCCGTCCTCTGCTCAGAGTTGGTGTGGCCAAGGGGCAGGGCTAGGTCCGCCCGATCCCAGGCTCCCAGGGCCTGACGTGCCCGCTGCCCTGAAAGTGGAGATGCTGGGCTCTATTCCCATTCATGGCTTCTCAGGGAGAACCGAGGAGTGACCTGCACCTTTATTGGGTCAGTTCTAAACTCCGGTTTTCCTCTAATGCCAGTTATCTTTCAGAATGAAAGGTAACTATTCCCATTAAGTCAGTAGGAACCATGGCAATTTTAAATGTTTACAGCACAGCCCACTCCCTACTCCACACACTCCGGCCTCGTCCCTAAGGCTGCCAATGCGGCCAGCTCTGAGGTCGGCACAGGCGGGACGGAGCCTCCCCTGACGGTGTCACAGTCCCTGGGGGAAATGCGTCGGGGTACACGCTCAGCGTGCGAAAGGTACTGGCGCTGGGTAAAGCTCTTTCGCCAATGAAACAGAAACTTTAGGGGGCGCCCCCTCCAGCGGCTCCCTGCGGGCTGCGCCCTCTCTGTAACCCCCCAGTTCCTCATTTCACAGGTGCAGCCCGAACTCGCTCCAAGGCCCGGGCATATCGAGGTGTGGTGCCACGTGTCTGTCTAAAGCCCCGCTCTTCCGGCACACGCGGTGCTTGTGTCAGGGACACGTGTGCATGGGTGAGGCCGCAGCACGAGGACGCAGGCTGGGTTATCAAGCAGAACAGGCAGGAACTAAGAACTGCGTCAGTAAACGCACAAGATGAGTAAACCCGGCTGCAGGAGACTCAGCTCCCCACAGGCCTGTGAGACTGAAATACAGTGCAGGCGAGGTGGGCATTTACCCGTGGCAGTGAGAAAAGTCCAACTGTGAACGCTGAAGCGGAGGCCTCAGGCCACAGGTTCGCCATGGCGCCCCTGCTGGCGCGGGCACCTTCTATCACGGCTGAGGGGCAGAGCGGCCCCTGTGGCAGTGTTCAGGGTGAGAGCTGCCCTGGCGGAGAGGCTGGACACCAAGACATCTTCAGCGGTGGCGGAGCTCTGGGGGTCAGAGACAGGGGCCTTCAGACGCTGCCTCTTTCTCGGTCAGCTGTCGGAAAACTAGGAAAGCCCTGTGCGCACTCCCCAGCACGGTTCTGCCCTCTGCGTTTAACTGATGCTGGCGCTTTCTCCGAGGAGGAAGGGCTGATAAGTCAGAATGAACCCGGATGAGAAGCCAGCTCAAGTTGCAGCAGCGGCTCACGGTAGCGAAGTCTTGGAAGCAGCCTGGACGCCATCAGCACACAAATGGATGAAGAAAATGTGGCATTTATACACTGTGGAGTACTACTCTGCCTAAAGAAGGATAAACTGGAGTTCTCTGTAGGAAAGTGGATGCATCTTGAGATGGGATGCTAAGTGAAATAATTCAGCCACACAAGCTTAAATATCACACAGCTTCTTCTATATGAGAAACCTAAAATATACATAAAGCATGGAGCAAAGTAAAAGCTCCATAATAGGAAACAGGGAGACAGATCTTTTACAGATGGGAGGGGGACCAAGGGGTGGAGGGAGGGGACGAGACAGGAATGCAGATGCGTCACACCCACGCACCGGCTCCCCATGGTGAATGTGATCACTGTGAACTACATACACACACTAATAAAAGTAAAGATTTAATTGTTTTTGAGACAGGGTCTCATTGCCCCTGAACTCGCTATGCAGCCCAGGCTGGCCTCAAACTTACAGCAACCCTCCTGCCTCAGCTTCGAGTGCTGGGATTGCAGGCGTGTGCCACCACGATTGGTGAAAAGTAAGAATTTACGAACAAAAGCGTTGCCTTTTGAGGCTGGTCTTTAACATGCTCTGTCATGGAAAGGTGTCACTCCAAACCATCAGTCACACGTGACTTCTAATCCCGCTGCACCGGGCCCGCGCGAGGCCTGTGTCCCACGGCCCTGTGTGTGTCCCGGCTGTGACCAAGCTCCGCCCCTCCCGGCTTCCACACTGCACAGCGACGGCAGCCCTGGCAGAAGGCGATCCCTAGGCCGGCGTGACTTTCTCCGTCCACTCTGCACCTGT